TTTCTTTGTTGCTCTGTTACAAGGTAATTCATGGAGAACTAGAGACATTGAGTGTGTGAGTGGATATTAGTGAGAGAAACAGCGGGGGTGTGTGGCAGTTTCTGACCAGGATGTGTCTGTGTTTGCAGGAGTCCAGTGTGAGGTGCAGCTGGTGGAGTCTGGGGGAGGCCTGGCCCAGCCTGGGGGTTCTCTGAGACTCTCCTGTGCAGCCTCCGGATTCACCTTCAGTGACTACTACATGAACTGGGTCCGCCAGGCTCCAGGGAAGGGGCTGGAGTGGGTTGGTGTAATTAGAAACAAGGCTAATGGTGGAACAGCAGAATATGCCGCATCTGTGAAAGGCAGATTCACCATCTCACGAGATGATTCCAAAAGCACCGCATATCTGCAAATGAACAGTCTGCGAGCTGAGGACACAGCCTTGTACTACTGTGCAAGAGACACAGTGAGAGGACTTCAGTGTGAGCCCAGACATAAACCTCCTGTGGGGCCCACGTGGGCCGCCAGGGGGCGCCCAGCACCCACTGAACACAGAGCCGCCCAGTGAGGGTGGAGGTGGAGGTTAACAGCTGATTTCCTATTGGTGGGTGGAGCTTCCTCTCCATCTAATTTTCCCCAAGGGACCTCTCTAGATTTAGAATTCTGTACTGACATTTGCCATCTGTAAATACAAACCTTTGTTTCTTTGTCTTATAAGAGGAGGACACACTCTCACCTGTGCAAATGTCACACTGTCGCTTTAGGGGCCAAAGTGCTCCTGCAGTTGTAACCAGGAACAGAGTCCTCAGGAAGCTTTGGGGAAGCTGATGAGTGTTCAGTCACACTCCAGGAAGAGACCTCAGTGGGATTTCCTCATTAGGACAGGCCTTGGGATTCAGGTTAGAAGCAACCGACAGGCTAGGGAAGGGTCAGTGGACTCTGAAATCTAACAGGTTCCAAATCTGTCCCTGTCTCTCCTGTATAACTGTGCACATCTGCGTCAGGACTGACCCAATTGTTCCATTTTGTGCCAATCCATTTTCTTTATCTCTAGGCTTTTCTATCACAATTCCCTTTTCTCCATATTTTCCCTGAAAATGGAGGTTGTATATTTTGTTGTCTAAGAGGACACAGCCCCTCTTCCTGTAGCTCAGGGGAGTCCCAGGCTGTGCCCTGCAGGTCCTGGGAGAGATTGAAGAGACCTTCTCACTTGCCTTTGCAGGACATCCTGCTGTCTTATTTGATGGTCTCATTTGGGAAATGCAAGTACACATTAATTAGTCATCAAGTGCATAATAGCAGTTTGCTCACAACAGCATATTGATGTAGAACTGACCTTCAGCTCTCTGTAACTGAGTCCAAGCTCATACCACTTGCCACACGAGGGCTGATACATTGAAAGAAAGGAGTTGGGGCAAAGACAGTGACTTCATTTTGAAAGCCATTGATCTGGAAAGATCGAGGACTAGTGTCCTAAAGAAACATCTTAAGGTTGTATGGAATTTAGGATGTTTTCTATGCTAAGGGAAGGGGAGTAGAAGGGATTGGGGTCAAGGGATGATTGACAACCACAAACTCTGAGGTGACAGCAAGAGTCTGAGGAGGCTGTGAAAGTTTGTTGTTGTTTTTTAATTTCAGCATATGAATATATTATGGGAATACAAATGTTCAGGTGAAATATATTGCCCTTGCTCCAAGTGAGGCAGAGCTTCAAGTATGTCCATCCCCCAGATAGAGTGCCTTCTCCCATCAGGTGTGTGTACCCATCCCTCTTTCCTGCTCCCACCTTCCTGACACCCAGTGAATGTAACTACTATGTGTGCACTTAAGTGTTGATCAATCAATACCAATTTAATGGTGACTACATGTTGTGCTTGTTTTTCCATTCTTGGTATACCTCACTTAGTAGAATAGGCTCTAGCTCCATCCAGGACAATACAGAGGTGCTAGATCACCATTTTTTTTTTGTGGCTGAGTAGAACTCCATGGTATACATGTGCCACATTTTCTTAATCCACTCATCTATTGATGGGCACTTAGATTGTTTTCACATGTTTGCAAATGTGAATTGCAATACTATGAACATTCTAGTGCAGATGTCTTTTTTTATCGAATATCCTTTGTTCTTTGGGTAGATGCCTGGTAACAGGATTGCTGGATCAAATAGTATTTCTACTTGTGTGTCTTTGAGGCAAATATTGCTTTCCACAGAGGTTGCACTAGTTTGCAGTCCCACCAGCAGTGCATGAGTGTTCCTGCCTCCCTGTATCTATGCCAACATTTATTGTTTTGGGACTTTTTGATAAAGGCTATTTTCACTGGAGATACGTAATATCTCATTGTGATTTTGATTTGCATTTTCCTGGTGATTTACCAAAATGTTGTCAGCATTTTTCTTATGTTTGTTAGCATTTGTAATCTTTCTTTTTGACGGTTTCTGGTTCATGTCCTTTGGCCCACTTTTTTTTTTTGCATTGTTTTTGATTTCGGATATTATGGGGTACAGAATTTTAGGTTTTCAATAAGATGCCCATTTCCCCCTCCCCCCAAAAGTCTTGAGTCTCATCTGACCATCCCCCAGATGTGGGCCACATCTCAATCATTATGTATGATATATACCGCCCCCTCCCCCTCCACTTGCCCACATACGCTTATTTACTGTAGTAACCTTGTGTCCACTTTAGGTGTACTCGTTTTGAAAATACCAGGTTTGGCTGGAAGATATATATCTGGTGCTTGTTTTTCCATTCTTGGGCAATACTTCACTTAGTAGTTAGGGTTCAGCTCTAACCAGGACAAAATATAAGGGCTGTGGCTATATCACCATTGTTTTTAGAGCTGATAGTACTCCATGCGTATTACTTTACCCATTTTATTAATCATTCTTGGATTGGATGGGCACTATTGGGACCTGTTTCCACAGCCTTGCTATTATGAGAT